GTCACCACGAGGGGAAAAGTATATTCTCAAAACGCATAATAAATTAGGATTTAGGTTGAAAGAATTAGTTTGCTTGTTTTGAATTTAGCGCAAAGCTACACGAGGGCTATCTGCGCTAGTCGTCCCTAATTTAGCAGTGTAAGACTAGAGGGAAGGCAGCTGGGATTGACCGTCACATTATAACGTCCCCACGGCTGAAAGGGCGAGCATGTTTCATGGGACGGAGATTCGAACCCGCGATCCGCAGATTGCGAGTCGAGTTCTCTAACCACCTGGCCGGAAGAATTAGTATCACAGGTCAAAGGTCAGAACAAATAATTATGTCCTACGGGATTCCGAATAAAAATAAACATAAAAAGTACGCAACCGAACATTATTGGTGAATGTTGTTTGTTTGTAGTTAAGCTCAAAGCTACACAGTTGGTATCTGTGCTCTGCCAACTAAGGATATCGAAACCAGATTTTTATCGTTATAAGCCTACAGACGTATCGCTGTGCCACTGTGGGCTATTGGTTAAGGCTGAAAAACTTGACCTTCAGCAGACTGTGCCACTCAGGGCAGAAGTTGAAAATCTAGTTTTAATTTTCGTCAAAAAAACAAACAATCAAACATCAACCTAGCTATCACACGATTTTATAATACTTTTCAATCTGTGGTAAAAAAATGCTATTCTTTTTTTAGTTGAAAAATTGTAATGAAATATCACGATAATGTTACTAATTGTTGTGACACTTCATGCTCAAGTGGCTTAATACAGGTTTCCAGTAGCAGGAGAACAAAACAAAATTTGAGCGCTTTAATAACATTTCATTTATACCAACAGAAAGCATAAAAATATTTTAAAAATGTCAACAAGAATTGCTATTAATAATATTTTTATACATTAGCATCTAAAGTAATCACCCCAGCCATGTTATTGAAGTAACGTTTGACTGCCGCTGTCCTCGTTGTTTCAACACCTTAGCAGTTCTTAATTTTGAACTACGAAGTATAAAGACAACCATGAGTATTGTTGTGCTTTGATTTAAACGTTGTAATACGAATTTACGTTCAGTATGACTGAGCTGTTCGTTAAATGTCATAATACAAGTTTAAGTGTGGTACGGCTGCGCTGCGCTAAATGTCATAATATCAATTTTTAAGTGTGGTATGGCTGAGCTGCGCGTTAAATGTTATAATACGAGTTTAAGTATGGTATGGCTGTGCTTTAAGATAAACATCGTTTGCTTGTTCACTTCAAAGACACCTTATGGACGGAATG